GGGGGGGGGGGTGGTTAGTGTTGCATTTTCCACTGTTGCATGTTGTTATGCTGTTCCCGCCAGGTCCAGTAATAGACCCGCCTCTTTTAATGAAAGTCGAGTAACTGGTCGTAGCTTATCAAGAGGCTTGGCGTAGGACGATGAGCCAGAAGACCTTCTGGGCTGCCTTAGATAAGAAGCTGTGACAGTTCTTTCTTGTTGTAGCCATGATAATTTTAAATGTGCTATTTTATATGTATGAACTTAATACTGTTTTTTCCTACTGCAACTGTAATCCCACAAACATCAATTAAATAAGCAACAATCAACCTGGACAAGGGTTCTGTAAGATCTCCTAATGCGACTCAACACAGATCCGCAAGGGATGCAACCAAGAGTGAAGTTTTGCTTAAAACATCAAAAGGCTTGAACTTAAGTATCCTGATTAGAACTGATAATATTATTAGCATTTTACAGCCCAGAGCCAAATTTTCCAGCTCTGTTTTCTATCTTGCTAAACTCTGTGCCTTAGCCCCTCCTTGGTCCACTGGTTTTATCTCCAATATCACCGCCCACCCATGCAAAGCAATGATTGGGCTTGATTCCTCTCTTCATACTCAAAGTGCTGAAATAATCAAAAACATGAAAAGTAATTCCTTTTTTTGGTATAAATCTAAAAGGCTAAAATTCACCGCATATCATAAAACAGCACAAGGAATATGAAGCCATTTATCGGGAATAGGCAGCAAGTTGCTGTGTTCGTGGTCCGAAGGGTACGGATTTAAATCTGAGAACCACCAAAGAGATCTTACTGGTCCCCAATCGCTCCAAGGATTGTCTGGCCCTGCTTAGTCAAAAATATGTGTCGCGGTGGATAAAAGGGTCTGCTAAATTAAAATAAATTAATGAATTAAAATGTTACTATATGTCCACATGTCATTTCATAGTGACCTTCCTTTAGTGAATGACTTGGGCAGAAGTTCCAGATAAAACATACATATTCTGCATTGCTGGATTTTTTGTTAATTTTTGTTATCGACAGATCAATGTTAGCAGTGAACAATTTATCCACAAATCCCAGCCTGTAACAATGACATGAGCGCTTGGAACCTGTGAAACTTTAATAAACTCTCGTTAACATTTTTGTGTTGTAGTCACTGTACTTGTATTATCTGGGGCACCTGTATGTAATTTCCTGCTAACCCTACCTAGTTTGAAACACTCTTTCTTCTGTAAGGTCTAATTTATACCTAATTTATACATACCTTCACAAGTTACCAGCTTTGGATTTAGGTTTAGTCTTTCTTTGGTTCATACAATCCCATTCCACATTTACATATGGTTTAAACGACAATTTAATTAATTTAAATTAAGCTCTTTTTCAGGAGTTATTTGCATCTGGCAATAACTAGTTTTAGTTGTTTTCTGATCTCTCAGGTACACACTGAATGCCGTATTTCCAAATGAGAATCTAACATCTTTGGCATTCAGCTATGGATATTCTCTATTACCGAGATCATTAAATTAGCATATTCTGTATGCTGAGATCCAGATCAGAATCATTTTATTCGCCCTGTACGAAAAGTATAAGACATTTGTTTTGTTGCAGGTGGTCGCATGGGAATATAATGTAAATATACTATCAAGACAAAAATACAGAAGACAGTAGATAGTATAAAATAAGCAGTGACACATAGAAACAAAAATGTGGACATACTGTATAAATAAGGGTGAGACAGCAAGACTCAGGGTACAAATAGTTTAGAGTACGTGCCAATAAGCATTTAGAGTACATATCAGTATAAAACGTAGTGGGTGACTAAGTGATATCATATCTCTTGATAATGAAATCAATACTGGAGTTACCATTGACATTAATGCTATTCTCTGGGAAGAGATTCCACAATCTTCCTGCTTGTCTACCTACCTATACTTATCTTGGTTAGTCAGCAGGGTTCCCCTATTCTCTCAACCCAAAGAAAACAAACAGTAATCCTCCAAAAACCCTCCCCTTTCACAACCCCCCACCCCACCCCTTCACACCTCCTCCTAACACACTCACACACACACATGCCCTCTTCCCAAGACTCCCCAGCAAAGCTGTTTGCATGATGCCTGTGTCTCATTAGTGATGGATTCCTGCTTTGGACCAAGAGGTGAGATACAGGATGGCGGAAATGAGGAAAAGGGACGCAGCATGAATGGCGACCACCAAGTGGGTGGAATATCAAAATCCGGGAAGGTCTGAGGAGGACATACGTATATTTATTGTGTTTAAGTTCTGTTTGTGCTCGTTTTATGGAGCGGAACATGTAAACTGTATTTAAAGAGCTGCTCAATGGTATAGTTGAAGAAAAGTAATTGTATGTTGAATTTTGAAATAATTTACACATATAGTTGATACATGGCAAAGACACACAATAAATTATTATTATTATTATTAATAATAATAATAATAATCAGCATCCTGGCTGTGCTTCAACATTAGCACTGTCTGAATAATTTGAAACTCAAACAACCAAACTGATAGGTTATACGGTATCTTCCTGTCAGAATGCATGACTACAGTTTGAAATCTACTCTCCCCCTAACTGAATTGCCTGCAGCAGAGGACTGTCTGGTGGTTACAAACTGCGAATAATCTATGTAAAGATGCAAATTTCTTCTTTGGTTTTTCAATGAAAGTTATGACATCATTTGATATACAATTCCTTCAGTTATTCAAATGTTCGATACTGAGTAACCCTATCTAGGAACAGAAATCTCACAAAAGGGAAAAAGGACCCCTGTTCTACACTTTTGCAGGCATCTAAACACATAAGCACATAAGCTGCTGTTTAATGGCCCTATCAGTACATTTATAGTCATTCATGTATAATATACTGCTTACCATGACTCAAATCGATGAACACGGATAAGATGTCAGGCACACCTCTGTCCTGTTACTCCTTCTGTTGTACATGACTGCATTGTGCTCTGGTTAAAGGATTGATGCTTCAGTCCTGCTTACATTCGTACCTGAGCATTGACTGGAAGCTCAGCCTAACTTTACTAACGCCTAGTCAACTCCATGACAGTACATCATTTTTGTAATATATTATTAGCTTTACTTGTACGTCACTTTGGAGAAATGCAAGAACTACATAAAATTAATGTAAAGTAAGTGGCTGAAATTACCAATCAAATTGATCATTGATATTGTTATTATTATTATTATTATTCTGGTTGTTGTTCAGAGCTTGCACGCCCTTGGTAAAGTCCCCAGCCATTACCGTTGTGTTACCTGCTACTTTATACACCCTTAAGGGAAAGCAGAGAGCAGCCCTGCTTGTTCAGAAACCCAATGGGTCCGAAGTACCCGAGCAATTAAAGATGTTTACTCAAGTAGTTTCCTTTCAGCTTTGTTACGGTACCTTTAATTACAAAGTGGGACACACGTTTCCCGGGTCTTTTTATGAGACACAATACAATTAACATTTCCCCTCTAGGGTACTTCAAATTAAACAAAGGAATCAGCCCAAGGCTAACAGAGACCGAAATCCATTCTGTATAATTTGGAGCACATGTTGAGCATTTAGTCACAATGCATCTAAACATGAATTTTCAGACAGGTAGGTCCTATTCTATGTCAGGAAGGTGGGCCTCAACGTTAAATTATTTTACAAAGCATATTTGAAATCATGTTCATGAAACTTTAATATTGTTCTCACTAAACAGCCCTCTAAGCTGTCTTACATGTAATATGATATGTACGGTGTTATTAATAGGTTTAGTACTATCAAATATACTGATTCATTAATCAATGTGTTTTTTTTTCCATTGTTAGTTCTCATGTGACCTGGTTTTTTTGTACTTGAATCCCTACGCAAGTTCTGTATTATTCTCCAGATAAGTTCAAATAAAGCAGTATTTCATTAAGAGACCATCTTAAAGGCATTCGTCAATTGCAAGCCCATTAATCCTGGAAAGGAGTTTGGGAAGAGATTCAAAGACACATAGACTGTGGCACAAACCTGCCCGGTTTTCATTTTGGCAAAACATTTCACCACCTGTTGTCATGTGCTGGTTCCCAAATACTTCTGGAGTGTGTGAGCACTGCGGAGGAATGCAGGCTGCTCACAGACACTAATGCTATTGATTTTGCTTGCTAATGTAGCTGTTCCTCATCAGGATTCCCCTTGTTAACCCTTCCCTGTCCCCCCCCCCCCCCCCCCCCAACCCCTACCCACCCTGCAGTAGCCTGTCCCAGGTAGCACAAGGCTGGGGTACTCCCTGCGCAGGCTGTAAAACATTTACTGATCCGTATTAATTACTAATTACTCACTCGGGGAATCCATAAAGATATGCTGTGCCAATTGAAAACAAAGTGTTATATTTTATGGTCTGAACGGTCATAATGTTCAACATTGAAAACATCACACTACAGGGGGCTGGGTGATCTCTCTTGCTTTAAAACAGCCCTACTCTTCCCAGGCAAACAAGGGGTCTGCACCCGTCTTTTCGGTATAACGGGCGACCGCAAATCGGATCCCCCCACCCGCCTCCCGAACAATCCAGTTCGGGATAAAGGTGAAAGTACCGAAAACATTTCTGCGACGCCAAGTCCGCATCTTTTATGCGCAGGCGTAATAAACACGCACCCTCGCCGACAGGGGCTCGCGCGTATTTTTTAAAGCTTAGCGTGTGACGTAGACGCAGGAACCTTATCCAAGTGCTGGCGGAGCGAGAGCAGTCGGAACCTCAGAGAAGGTTCATTTTTGTGTTGTGTGAATAAAAATCACTATTATGTTTCCCTCACCACGTGATAAAACTCTGCAGAGGAATCCCGCGAAATCAAAATCACGTTATATTGTCATCTTGCTCTCAGTAGTGTACTTTGAAATAATAGCGATACAACTGGTAATACGTTAAATTCAACCACGCGTCCATTTTAGTGTACAATACAATCTGGACAGCCTATTATTTCTGTCGCGGACCTTGCCTTTTGCACTCACAGATGAAAACGGATGCTTTTCTTAGACTTTTCATTATTTTTAAAAATCTCTTTCCGAAATAACGTGGGATGGTCTGATATTGCTTACACGAAAATCGTGTCCGGCCGTCCTACTCTGATGTACGAGAACTTAATCTGTCCACATTGGGATTGAGTTATGTCCGGGAAGACGTGGATGTTTTTTCCATTTTAATCATCACTGATTTATGTCTGGCTTCTTACTTTTATTTTTATTTTACTGACGCTCCATTCAAAAATGCTAGGAGTGGCACGGGTGACCTACCCTCTCTGACCTTGTTGCTTAATGCAGGCTTTATGGTGCATATTACCTGGCGGCGGGGGAGCGCGTGCTGTATTAACGGCTCAGCCACCGCGGTCAGCCGTTAGCTGCCGTTTGTTTCCCGCCTCCGCGTCTCGCGCCAATTGGCGGTCATCGCTGCGCTATGAACATCCCTGTCATCGTCACATTACGTTCGCGCTGAGGGAGAACCAGATCCTTTGAAATTGCTTTCACTGCACCAAAACGTCGCATAATGTGCCAAAAAGCGTTTGGAGTCTCTTGGAGTAAGTCGGTAGTTTTTATTCATATTAACAACCTGGTGAAGTGTTTGTGTGGGAATATAAATCATAATATACACACATTAAAAGCAGCCTAAAATTGTTTTTTGTCTATTTGTCAAATTTTTTTTGTTAAGTGCCCTGAGTGGATTAGGTCCCCTTGACGGATTAATCTATATGTATTGCTGGCTTTTCATTCATTTTCTGGGTAAATGGTGGGTAATACTTCACAATTGATCCATCCATTCTCTCTGTTTGGAGGTGTGCAGTCTGTTTAAATTTTATAAATGCCTACACACACACACATACACAGTGCAGTTGTTTCTTTCTTCTTGCTGGATTTACTCAGGCTCTCTCAAGTTGCTTACACAGCAGTTATTAAACATTTTGGTATATCCCCGTTCTCTGTGGAGTCTGGGCGTTAACCGCACCTCCCAGGAGATTTCACTTTGTTATTCGCCAGCCGTTCTGGTTTATCTTCGTCCTGTCCGCAATGACTCGCTGCATTCCTTGCAGACTGAAACTGGTTTTCATCTATAATTTGCCCGAGTATAAATATATTCCCCAGAAAGGCTCACGACTGCAAGGTGATGCATAGGATCTAAGACAATCAGCCGTAATTTGTGCAGAAGGGGGCGCTGCCAAAGTCCATTTGTTCCCTTTAAAGTTACAGTAAAAAGTAATGTTAACCTTAATTTGACCATTTATGGTTTCATTATACCATGGAGTAAAAAAAAAATATAGCTATCATTTTGTGTTTCACATAATAGAAGTGAGAAGGTTATGTGAGGCAGCATGAGGTTGAACAAGGGAATGTGGCTGGGCTCGTGTAATCTCCTGAGCCTGCTTGGTTACTGGTCCCTGCAAACCGCTGTGGTCGTGAAGCCCAGCTAGCCCTGACTGAAGAACGCTCCTTTGCAGGGTTTAAACAGGGTTAGCTGGGTGGACTAGCCTAGGGAGTCATTCTTTGGAGAAAGGCTGGTGTATTACTGTAAGCTCATGGTTTCTCGTCATGCTTTCCAGTAGTACTTTAAAGAACCCATGTCTTCATTTAAGTTTGAGGTTGCTGGTAAAGTTTAGTTCGACTTCTGTCTGCTGGCCAGGGCTTCTGTCAGGCCGTCAGTGACAAGCTTCACCCCATAATCTGCCTCTGTCGAAGTTCAAAGCATTGGGTAACATTTCTATGAATGCTATGTATATAAGAGTGTATGAACGCATTCCCAAGACATTATAATGCATTCATAAAGCATTATAAACATGGCTATAAATATATTTAACAAGGCACAACACATTATAGTCATGATTAGTATGCATTATGAATGATTTATGAAGCTCTCATCTATAATGCGCTATAGATTCCTTTATAATGCAGTACAAAGCATCCTTATTTCTTAAACTTACAGTACCATTATAAATAATTATGAAGGAATCTATAGTGCATTATAGATTAGAGTTCCATTGGAAACTATGAAGTATTATAATCGATGCCATAATGCCTTATGATTTTAAGCAGAAAATGCTGTGAGGCTTTATTAATTTTTATGAAGGTATTATAATGTATTATAGATGACAGCTTTATGTAAAATGTTATGAAGCATTACAGTACAGGGTTAATATGGTGCCTTCCATACAGAGCTTTTTGTATGGTCCTACACATATACAGTATGTCACGTGTGTGTTTATGAGATTGTACTTAAATGTATATTACAACTGCTGTTGTCAGACGGAAACACACAACCTTTCACACCATCTTCCACATGTTGGAACAGTAGATATACTTGTCAGCAGCATTAATCCCCCAAGCAGAGCCTAATAAACAATGAGGAGTATTTCATTCACCTGGGTGAGTGATTAATTTCAGGTAGGCGGCGATATTTCATAAAAACAAACAAACAAAATAAAACGTTCCGACGTCGCCATGCCATGGAACGGAGACTTTTATTTTGATACACTGTCGCCTGCACAAAAGTCTATTTATAATAATACAGTGAGCGCCGTGGTTTTGACAGTCTGCGATTAACTATAATTAGACACCGTTTACCTTATGCTTTGAAGTGCTGAGCGGCGTGTTAAGTTATAATAAGACTGTACAAATTGCTGCAGGTCTTATTACCATTGAGGATGCGCTTAGCTCGCAGCCTTCGATAGCTTGCATCATGTAAATCGTTCCCTCTCTTTCACGGTATGTCCTACACCACCAGCAGTGGTGGTCTGTAGTTATGCACCAGTTTAGAGGGAGTATACCTTGACTTACAGGTAGCCTTTTCTGTACGTTATTGCAGCAGTTGCTGTGCTGTAAGGACAGACAGCCTTCGTATCGTTGCCTTATTTTGATTTTTTTTATGTTTTTCCTGCCAGGGTAGACTTTGCTATTCTGGTTGATCAGACCTAAAAAAGGGTCGAGGTCTGACTTTCTCCTTTTCATATGCATCCACTGCTTTAACTTGTGCGCAGAGCTTTTACTGTACATCAGTTGTGATTTGATTTGGATTTAGGGGCGATTCTAGGATTTCTTTTAAGGTGGGTGGCATAAGAGGGGCCAAAATTCATACAGAGGGCCTACTTCATCATTAGCCAATGACAGGCTTTGAATCTGTGAGTGACAGTGGTGGGGCTCTCGGGCAGCCAGTCAGCTTTCTGCTGGAGTCAGTGCACCTGTGGCCCCGCTCCCTACACACCCCTTCTTGGATTCCCCCATGACGTTGCTTTATCAGTGTGGGGCTGCCTCTCTGGGTTTCACTTGTCCAGCCCTCGCAAGTGTTCCCCTTCTGCCTGCTCTCCAGCTTGTCTCACTGCCTGCGGCCCTTTGCAAGGGTGACACTCTGCACCTCCGACTTTCCCAGCCTCACTTTTTCATTCCGTTTTTGCCGTCCTGCTGAAACTGACAAATTCGGCATGGCATCCAAACCTTTGAGCTCTTGGCACAAATCCAGTGGAGGTCTTTGGCAGGGGGGCTGTGACCCTATAGCTGTTCCACAAACTTGTTTACAGCCAAAAAATCGGGGCCCATGATCCTGTTTCACCACCCAGACCTAATGAGTCTCTTGTCAATGCGTATGTTCCAGGCAGAAGACCTTTTCTAGTTAAATTACTGCAGAATCACATGGACGATCTTTTTACATACATTTGTCCTTCTTAATCAATACATTCCTATCCAAATCAATTTAGTCTATCCGGTCCCACTGAAATATGGTATGTAACCAACACACAGTGCATCTCAATTCAGTTTGCGATAATAAATGTAAAAAATCTATTTGGCACACTATCTATTACCTATTATATAAGCTCTGTGATGGTCTGTTTTGGAAAGACTCTGATTTTTATTTAAACACAGACATATATAACGGCTGATCTATGAGCCAATAAGGTCTTAACGGAGGAATACAAATGAATACCTTATTGAGCTGTGGGAGAGGCAAATTGCATCAGGGCGTTCATTTGGGGCTCCCTCACATAATTAAACAATATTTTCAAATCAGACCTCCTTGACAGCTTTGGGAAATGAATACAGTATTTGGGCTCAATTTGTGATATAATTTATTTTGGATAATGCATTCCTGGGTTCACTGGGGACCGAATTGTTCGTGGTTTGGGAATGACTAAATTATATGTGGAATTAGCATGCCAATGTCACCGTCTTAACAGGAGCTCAGGTCACGTGGCCCGGACTTTGCCCAGTGCCGCTGGCGGTAGAGTGTGGGGGAAAAGGAAGGGCATTTTCATTCCGGTCAGGCCGGGATAAATTTCCTTAAACAGCTTCCATTCTATTGCCCTGTAGAGTTCTGTAACCTTACCTATCTTGGATGGGCGATTCATGTGAAGGGTACAGCATAACCAATCAGAACTTTTACATATTGTGAACCGTCTTACCGCTTACTAGATAGCAGCGCATTGCATGTGTAGGATAAGGTGACCCAAGGTTTGAAGCAGCTGGAATGTTATTTGGGGATATCTTTTTCCAAGGGAATAGGGAGGAATTGAGATAGCGTGGGACAGAATTGGAACATACAAATGCGGAATGTAAACGCCATGAAAATACATAAACACGTTTGTATGTGAGGGTCAGCAGTGGTGATCTTCTTTAAGGCCATAATTCATACAGAGGGGCCAACCTTATTAGCCAGTGATTTGTTTTGAATTGGTGAGTGACAGGGGAGGGGGCACACAAGGGGCCAATCAACTTTCAGCTGGGGTCTGTGGAGCCGCCCCTTATATGCCCCTGAGGGTCGGACATAAAGAGAGGAAAATGAAGGAAGGAGATGTACATAAAGGAATGAAGAACAGCTGGAATAAATCAGGCCAAGCAGTGATGGACACCTGACTTCCCCGACAGACCTGAACCTTTCCCGTTTTATGATTTCCTTCATTCAAAATTTATATTTTCATTATTTCTGCAATTATTGTTTGCAAAGGATACAAGCCAAGGGAACAGTCACCTTCCGGCTGCCCGCAAAAATCATAAAGAGGGCCGAGAGGGACAAGCATGCATTAATACTTTATCCTCTTCTGAAGGACCAGTGAAGCAGGACTTACCTGAGTCAACAGCCCGACGCTGTTGTAACGAGTAACGAGGTTCCCCGCCACTGCTCTCGAGAGGCCCGCTGCGGATGCAGTTTGCCAGTCCTTACGCCTGCAGCTTTACCGAACCGAGCTGAAATTTGGGGCGGACAAACAGCCCTCGGTCACCCTGAACTTGGTTAAAATGCAGCATAGTCTAACCTCCCTTAGGGTTGAGATGTAATTAAAAAAAGACTTATGAATAACCTAATTAACGAGTTATATGAATATCACAACCATTGTCACACAAGTTAATAAAAGATTTTGAAGCTGTGGAATTCTCTCCATCCTGCACAGTAGACCTTCCATAATTATAGATACAGCCTACATTGGTGCCTCTCTGCAGTTATTATGGGCTGACACCTCAAGATGCTGGTTCACCGTGTGTATGGATGTGTGTGGATGTTGTTGGCTGCTATATATCTCCTGCCTAGGTATGTGGGCGGGTCTGTCTGGTGCCTGTCCCATTCCTCTAAGTCACATGTGTGTTATGCGTGCCATCAGCCAGCTAAAAAGTCAGTCCATTTTATTGCTCTCTCAGCTTCTCATTTGGGTCTGTCTGCTGAATATTATCTACCCTGCTTTGTGTTTAAAACGGAAAATAGTGGCAATAACGTCTGTGACTGGGAGTCAGCTCTCCTGTTTGCTATTATCCGGCAATTTGAGGTTATGATAAAGACTATGGTGGCGGTTGGATGAATGCATTGTGAGCGCTGAAGTTTGCGTGGGCGTTTGTTGATTATGCTAATGAGCAGATCATGCTAATGAAGGTAGCTGGCTCTTGTGGAAAGACTCTGTGTTCATTTTTTGGCTGTCAGTGGCCCTCAGTGCAGATTGTCGCCTTTGGCTTCACTGCCTTCGCCTTGGTGGAACCGGCCTCAGTTGAAAATAAGCTGGATAGCCTAGTGTCATTCTCGAAATGTCAGCAGGTCAATTCTCCGTCTTTGGGTCCTCCTCTGTCCCAGTGTCCCTTGTTGTGTTGGTCTTTATTGCTCGGATTTAAGATCGACGGGAAGTAAGGTGACTTACTGACACAGCCCCAGCATGCGGCTTCTTCACTACGCCAGTAATCATTGCCACTTATGTCCCCTGATACTGGCTTGATACACTGGGTCTGGAGGTATGCACTTGTGTAAGTCGCTCTGCCTAAGGGCGTCTGCCAAATGCAGTAAATGTAAATGTATGGATTATCATCCATTTCATTGTTTTGTGATGCAGAAAACGGTCAGCCGGTCAACTTCGGCAAATTCTCTTTCTTTCCATGGCGCCACTGGGATACAATTGCTTCATCGTTGCATATGACATCAACATTAGCTAGCGAGTAGCGTCAGAAGATCGTAGCAAACTAGCTGGTTAACCGAACATGCTGCCTCAGCATCTTCTAAACAAGGAATCTGTTTATTTAATATTTAGTCTGGTGACTGTTGCTAGCCAAAAGGGGCCCCCACCCCTTGGGGGGACACACGCACATGTCAGGTTTGAATGGTGCACTCGGCCGGCCCACGGTCGGGCTGCTGCCGGCTCTGCCGTCGCCCCGCCAGCCTGGCGGCGCGTTGAACGGTGCGGTGCGGCCGCTTGCCGATAAGCTGGCAGAAAGCTGTCCCACATTTCCCCAATGGGCTCTCCATTAAAAAGGGATTTCACTCAAGGCTTATGACAATTGCCTCTTAAGTTGTTTGCTTTCTTGAAGGAAAGGACGGATGCTTTAAAAAAAAAAAAAAAAAAAAACCGATAAAGGGTTTTTTGAAGAAATGGTGTCGTTGAGGATTTCCCGCCGCTTCTCTCCGCCTGGCCTCCTCTCCAACATTCTCGCTAAGTGCCTTCGACCATATAATAGCATAAATAGAGGAGTGTTACTCTCCTTGGCTCTCCTCCTCACTTCAGCTGATACGCCGGCTCAGTGCTCACCCCTCCTGATGACCCTCTGCACGCGTGTCCTTCGAAGGCCGTCCTCCTAATACTCATGACTCATGTAAACATGAATCTGAAAATAATGAATCAGGGGAGTTAATTGTTGAACCACGCCGCTCGAAAGCAGGCCGCTCGCGGCTCTGTACACAGGGAATAATTTACGTGCTCTCCAGTGATTAAATATGATTATGCTTCCATCAAAGTGCATCTGTCAGGCATTTAACTGTAGCTGTCACTTATTGTCACACTTAAGTGGGAATTCAGGCATTATTGTATTTTTAATCTTTTGGGACCCATTCTTTTCATTATCTTGCCTCAGGATGCTTCTGGATAGCCAATAGCAAACACTCCCATCACGAATCGTTAGGTCATCTGGGTCCAAAATGATGGCTGCTGACTAAAGCCTGGTTCTCACTGTAAACAAAAAAAAACAGCCTATATGGGGGACTGCATTTGTGGGAAGCCTGAGAAATTTGGTAAAATCAATTTCATGATTTGTGACCACAAAAAAAAAACAGTTGGTTTCTTTAATAACGCTTCTGACAGTTTCTCAGAAGCACACAGGTATTATAAACATACAGGTATTAATTCCATGCTTTAAAGGAGCATGACTCTGGAAAATGTAATGTATAATATCACCAAGTGTTCATTCTCTTTAATGTGTTCTCAGTCATATAAATTCCAGTAGCACTGCTGAAATTCTGCAGGTAGAGTCGACACAATCAGCGTTTTATCATGAGGAGCAGTCTGCGAGTCCTCAAGTGAGTGTACCTGTCTCTTTGGATGTTAACGTTATCCTTGCTTTCAGCTCAGTTACGGCCTCAACTCTGCTCCAAAGGACAAGCTTCCCACCTGAAGAAGTTGCTCAGTGCTGCAATAACTGAAACTGCACATATGGACACAGAACTGATCATACAACATAACTACGTCAGCTAATTAAACACCTGGTCAGAGAACCAAGACTGTTATGTTCTTACCAACAGTCTATGTCAGATTTATGTTATGATATGTTTAGATTTTCAACCTAAAGGCATCAATCCCAAAATGAATCAAAAGCTAAAGCACTGTTAGGAGCCCACTGGTTATTGTTAACTTTGCATCTTTAAAAGCTGGTCAATTTAAATCGCAGTGGCAGTTATCAAAAATGAATGGAGACCGCAGGGCAGACATCAAAAAAGGATGACTACTCCGGATGGCTGCGTAGTGAAGGGTCGGTCGGCAGCCGGAATACGCTCGCTGTCTTGCTGTGAAGCCCCCGCGTGGTGTGAAAGATTGGCGGACGGGATGTGTGTTTATTGCCCTGTCAAAACGGACGCGGCACAACGGCACAGAGTCAGCGGGAGGCTCGACCACAGACATTTAATCACACAAGAGGAAAGCTGATGTTGCTTTGCCACGTTGCCCCATCCCTGGAAATGCCTGTACACTGGGGACAGGGAAGAGGTGACAACGCATACTGGTGATGAATAACAGAATAGTGAGCAATAACATACATATACATGGAATATATACAATATACAAGTATACAATATTCTGTCCTGGTCTTCAGGTTTCTCAAAGGTGTGTCTGTTGTTGGGATATTGAGTCTGTACATCTTGTTGTTGGTCGTCCTCTTCCTCTTTGATGCTCAGGTTTTCCAAGCTTATGTCTTCTCCATTGTCCTGGCCCTACCCATAATATGTCATGAATAAGATGGCTTCACTGGAGCTTAAACTGAAAGTTCAGGCTTTATTTGATGAAGAATCCACTTATTTGTCTACAATATTAGAACTCTTCTCCAGCACCAAAAATCAGTCTTCCTGTCTTGCTTCTTCTGACTTTCACACTGATCAACAGTCATGGGAAATACACTTTGCTGATTAATTCTGATCTTTGTTCTTTGAGATATATCATGCCTGAGACATTCTGCCTCACCGTGACTGCTGCTGATTATAGATTCACAAAGACCAGAATTTTTTTTTTTCCCAGTCCTGAATTGTAAAACGTGGTTAAACCAGTTGCAGTGCCACGTTCCCTAGGTTCAATGAAAGCAGATGTTAGTGCTGTTACTGGAAATACTGAACGTCAAAACAGCCTCACCCCTTCATGTGAAAAAATGGCCGATACATGTGTGAATATTCCTCTCATATTCAGCGTCATGGAATTCTGCTCTTCACATAAGCTGAATATGTCAGGGTGGTCTTGAGACGAAGCCCGACTTTTGCTGCATTTATGGAGACCGACGCAGGTCACTGCCTTTTAAAAATCCCGGTATTACTCCTTAAGTTCTGATAAATGAATGCTAATGTGTAATTTCACTTGGCACGCAGTTGCCATGACTATCAATTTTGCACTGGGGAGAGAGAGAGAGAAAAAAAAGATACTTCTGTTTATGACTGAATCTGGACTTCTGTCCCTGAGCAGGGAGGGAGGGGCGCTGGCGAGATGCCATCTTCAGTGAAGCACGGCAAGAGGCAATTCTGTGGTTTATTTAATGGCTTTTACCTTCAAGCCATTTAGTGCTTGATTTTCACTTGAGACCAAACGCTGTAGGTATATTTATAAAAGCCAGGCTATTCCAGCACCGATTCAGCTCTATTTCTCAACTCTATATTCCAGGAACAGATTGCAGGGGCTGCGGAATTAGAAGCCCCCCCACCCCATTTTCTACCATACACACATACACACACATTTTAAGCTCTTTTTTTTTTTTATTCCCCATGCATGCAGTTCTTGGCTCTGGGATGCTCCAGCTCATCCTTCCAGGATAATATCGGCATGTTGTCAGATACTGGAAGTGTCCGATTTATTTCCAAGCAGGAATCTCCGTCCAGCACATTGGCGTAGATGGGTATCGATTCGGCTATGATGTTGCACGAAGAGACGGATAGCATGTAGGGGGACCGGAGCCGGGCGGGTGGGTTGGTGCTTTGTGTTTGGGGGGGGGGGCATATGTATCATCCGAACCTGACAGGTGAAGCGGTGCGGATGCTGCCCCCAAGCTAAAGTGCTGAGCCGGAGAGCCACCAGTTTGCTCTGAAAACAGGCCAGTGGTGCCGGAGATTTAGCCTAGGAAGCAGGCCGGGGGTCCAAGTCCAGCATGAACAGTGGCGCACATCTGCAGTGAAAGCCCTCCAGTGCTTCCTGTTTGTGTGCCCGGGAGGACGCGGGCGCCGGGGTTACAACAGAGAAGAGCGGTGCTCGTTAGACAGCGTGCTTTAAATGCACGACATGCGACGGGCTGTCTTGCCAGTAATAAATGAATCTCCATCGCATTTCTTCCCAGGATATTTCTCACAGACGTGTCAGGCAGTGCACTGCATATGTCAGGCAGTGCACTGCATATGTTCGTTTGTCTCTCTCATGTTTCCTTGGTTGTTCCCAAAAGGCCTGTGTGATAACTGAACGCACACGCTGCCGTTACATTAAGGGGCGTTAAAACCCGCAGACAGAACTCTGTAAAAGTACCGCCCCTCCTCCCATTTAACCACGATTTTCTGCTCCTGAAGCGTGTTAACGAAGCATTTTCACGTTTCTGTGCTCTTGTCGGAGACACTTACTGTAGCTTAACATCGTTTTCTTGAGCCTGGGATCCTGATGCTGATATCAGGGGCTGCAGGCAAGTGAGTTTTTGTCCATTTTTATGCGGGCAAAGAGTCAAAGAGTTTGGCTAATGCTAATTCTCCTGCAATACACTGTTATTCATCCATCCTCCAATTGCTTATCTGGTACCTATGAGAGCGCAAGGCAGGAGAATACCCTGCACAGGATACCAGTCCAAGGTGTATACACACACACACACGTTTGAATTCATATCTTTGTGAGAATCGTCCATTCATTTGTAGAAAAACCTAATCAAAAGAACAACCGTAACCCTTACCCAGCCCAAAACTTCACCATAAGCAACCAAACAAAACACAAGACTTTTGACATTTTTAGGTTTTTGATTGCAGTCACAGATTTTTATACATTTTTTAAAAATGGTCCCCACAACGTCACAATAACAGGTTTTTCGTAGCGTGCCTGCTACGTGCCAAGCTCTCCGTCCGGAGGGGCCGGGTGTGATACTGGTGAAGACACCGAAAACTTTTTTGTGAAACGTTGATACGATCTACCGACCAGTCTGTGGGTAACACCAAGACCAGAAACATGGTGATCCATCCACAATCCATCTCTCCCGGCATCCATTTCAATTAGGATTCTTGGTGCAAACAGTATAATGCAGGCAGTTTCTAAGTAACTGCGATGTAGCTTTGGCTTAAAATCCTCATGGGTGCAAATGTACAGTCGCATGAATGACGGTGTAATGCGTGGTAGAGAATTTATTGCACTATTCATTTATTTACCATCATCGACTCCTGGCCTCTCTCCCGGACACTGGACATACAGTACTGCTGCCCGCTGCCACTTCCTAATTTGATGTGTGTGTCTTTTTCCTTTTTTTGTTTTTCAAATTGCCACACAATAGCCGAGTTTTCCACCCAAGTCTGTTGGATCCAAGGGATAATGAGTTAATGCAGAGACAGAAACCTCTGTCAGTTGTTTGGATTCTGTCTGCGATCCTTCCAGAACGTGTGTTGGGTGCAGTGTTGTAAATGTGTCTGTCATGACTGTGAGCCAGTATTGAGTCGTCAGCAGTGGGCTTTTTCACCAGGCGGCTGCAAGCAGTTGTCACTTTCACTGGATGCAAAAGATTAAATAAGCTTCCTGTGTAACTACCCATCGATTTTTGTCTGTTCAGCTTCATGTTTTCCATAATCACTAATGCTAATGCTAAATATGAATGCATTTCTGAATCGCTAGACAAGGTGCGGTTATTTGAAAACTCGATCCCGTTGTATAATATTTCTGATTTTTCTCATGGTTCCCCCAGTCCACTGTGACACTTACCTGCAGTCAGAGCGCTGTGGTAGGCGAACCCAATCGAAGCGGTTCAGGCCACCCCTGTTTGCCGGCTGTCCGTTCTCTTGAATGTTTCTCTATAAAAACCTCAGAATCCACAGAGTGACTTAGCTAATGAAGGTGGCTCTCGGATGACATCAAACATGGCCGTCATTGTCATTAGCTGTGGTACAGAACACAGCCTCACTCCAAACTCATTTAATCATGACCACCCTGCTGGCTTTATCCATAGATGGTTTTACCATAAGGCAATTTCTTGGGACCTTGTCCATCATAGGGCCTCATGAATTTGTTTCCTTCCTTTTTAATTTAACATATTCACCCTTATTTAAAAATAAGACAAACCTGAAATAAAATGCTTAGTATTCGTGAACCACTTGTACTGCATTCTTAAACAAGGGCTGGTTTAAATCCTGACAAACAAAATGTTAAGACACAAAGGGATTTCTAAAATACTTTCATTTTTTGCACTGACAAAATGATTTTGTGGTTTATTTTGGCATTAACGATGTTTTGCTTAGCCTAGCAACCCTGCAAACACAATAAATTCCAAGACAACCCTCAGTAACCCTCAGTAAATATCTTATATCTTATCAGCGATTGTGGTATCACAACAGATCGTCTCACGCTGTGTTCAGTTGTCCCAAACTCGATAACTAAATAAAAATGTAAATAAATAAATGCATTACCTGTGTTTAGTTGTAGTTTTTTCTACTGCATTCCATTTCTGGCTTAATATCATCTTCTTAAAAAGGGATTCTCATTGCCCTATAATATCCAACACCATTGAAGCTGTTCATGTCATACTGTATGCCTTTTAGGACACTTCTAGCTTGTGCTATGTCATTGAACTTATCGTTTTATTGGATATCCGTTCCTTCTGCATTCTAGGACGTATAGTTACTGGCTTTCCGATAGGTCTGTCAAAACGGAGAGTGATTAGTCACCATGTTATTACTGTGATTGACTAAAAACACTTGCCAGTCAGCCAAAACTAAACCAGTAGGCTTGTTTTGTACCTTAGGGCCAGTTGTACACATTGAAAGTTTGAATGTATTGTGTGTATGCAGTACTTGTTGAAAATCATGGGTAAATATCGATGATGTCACCGAGTAAACATGGGTAGTTTTTGCTATATTTGTCCAGTTTACCATGTTTTGAATAAAGGATTATGACCGATATTGATTATTGCACCTGTACAGAGGTATGGACACCAATATCGGCATGCTTTGAGCATTCAGTGCTTTGTTATTCACCTAAACAAACAGGAAGCACACGTTTCAATTTGGCATCTATATTGAAATATTATGAATGGCTTTTAATAGCATTATGATCGAAACAAATTTTTATTTGATCACTTTCTGTGTTTTTTTTCTTTATTTTGAAATAATGTGCACGCAGACACTGACACACACACACACACACACACACACACACACACACAAACAACAGCAACAGAATTGTGGACTTTGCACTTATGCCTTATATATAATAAGTGGATGTTCAAATGCGTTATCAAAATTATCCTACACTTTAATTTTGAAAGAATTAAAGATTATATAATTGTAATCTTTTCCTTGCCATATTGGCTTTTTCTAACTGCCTGAAGGTCACTTGAAATTGTATTACAACAGTTAGAATTCTCATTCAGGTTTGTCCTTTAGTTCTGTGGCTTTGTCAACTGAAAAGAGCTGCTTTCCCATAGTTTTCCTGATGCGGGGCTGGTCGATGCAAGCCCATGTGGCCCCCCCCGGCAGGTGGGTTGTGCTAATGGTTTGCTTAACTCCCTCGTAAGATGACGCCCTAGGCAGTCGGTCACCTATGTCGCCTATAGCAGTGTTTGCCTGCCCGGTCCTCGAAGACGCTGGCCTATTGGATCGCCGGGCCCTGTCTTGATGTCAGTGTGGCCGGGGCTGAGGGTGCCTGTGTGGCGGCTTTCATGCCTCGTATCTCTCCCCGTTCATCTGCTGTTTTCTGGGATGTTTGGACATTTATACGTTGTTTTGAAGTTGCTTGGCAGGGAATCATGGGAGTTTAATCTGTTGCTGAAATGCAGACACATCGATTCCTTAACTCATGCTGCTGTTTTATGGTAATTAGAAAAAAAACAAGCCAATAAAAGAGAAAACAAGAGGCTGTATCACATCCAGTGAATCATCACGTTGACGTCTGCATGTGTAATAAACACTTTAATCTAATCTTTTCTGTCTTTGATGGTTCTGTGGGCCCGTATTGATCCATTCCCGCACAAAGGCCCGGCAGGAAACAGGCCATGGGTGGGATTTTAATTGACTCCGAACCCAACTGCAGGGGCACTGTTTCCTTTACTGTTGGGACCACGGCGAGCTCTCAAACGGGAGATATGAAGCAGGAGACTTGGCTGAGGTGGCTTTTTATAGCAGGAGAAAAGATAGGGGGAGAGAGGGGGGCGGAGAGACGAGATCAGAGGCAAACTGAACACCACCTCTGAGCTGAGATGGGGTCGTGTTCGTCTTGGTTGTGAGATGCACAACAGCGCAATAAAAATGTGGCCTCCCGCTGTCTCTCCCCCTCTCTCTCTCTCTCTCCACGGTGCTGTCACTTCCTGTTCCCTGTGGCCAGCACGCTCCAATGCTGCAGGACCGTCAGGCTCTTGATCCGCCCTGCACACTCGCTACTGGCTTGAGGACCTTTTACTTGCCCAGTGATCTGGCAGGTGAATCCAAGCCCCCCACCCCCTCCACGGGTGTGGGAAATGTCTCCACGTGTAGCATTTCTGCGGATCAACTGTGTGTTTTGTGGCAGCACTGCGGTGGAGAGGGAGGGAGGGGAACATATTTCTGTGAATTGTTGAAAAGCCGAGGAGAGAGAGGATCGTCTGCCTGTTTGATCTGCTTCTGTATTAAAAATGAAGGAAAAGACCTTAAGACTTCATGCTACTTTGGGCAAATCTGTCCCAACGTTGCTTTCTAAAACCAATATAATGCCAACTATCTTTATTATGATCATCGCACTCCTACTTTTAAGGTTTTAGTTGCTATTTTTGGCTGGGTTCTGTTTTTTTTTTTTAGGTTTTATGCAGTGTTATTTTGGTCTCTGAAAAGAGGCACAAAGAAGGATCTGAAGGAAGATGTGCCATGCTACAGAATAAATAGCAGCTTGTATCAGTGCACCCTGGGCTCTGGAAATGCGGCAAAAAGGATGCATTGTGTCTGCATGGACCCCAGCCAACGTCTTTGCTGGTTCCCCATGCGTCCACAGGCATGCGACACCCTCAGGGTCAAAAAAATATTAAAACATGTTACTTGGGAGGAGCAAGTTTTTGAGATTGATGCATTGCAATCTGACCACCGCAGTCAACATTAAAATATCCCAAAATGGCATAAAATTCTTTGAGGTGGGGTTGGTTAGCCTGATCGCTCAGCGGTTCTGGTGTGACAGAGGTAGCAAGCAGGGGACGTCTACCTGAAGGGCAAAACAGCGTGGTGTTCCTGGCTCTGAATGAGCAGTCTGAAGAGAACCGCGGAGAGCTTTTCACAAAGCTGCAGGGTTCGAATTTCAAGGGCTTCTCCACAACGAAAACAGCCAGTCTGGATGGCGTACACTCTTCTTCTAACCGTTTTTCTGCTGTGGAGCCCCTTGGCAGTCTGGTGAAACTTTTATGGAGGATCAAAATAATGATATTAAAATGTCAGTGAGTCACTGGTCACAGCTGTTGGTAGCACTGCTGTGGTTTATTGCCTACATTCATAATTGAAGAAAATGCTAAATTCTTATTAGCGAAAAATAGCAATTTATTTTCCCCAAGTTCCCTTGAAATCTACCCCAGGTTAAGAACCCCGGTTTAAATGTCTTAAACTTTGAAAGTTGTTTTGGTCGAATTGCCCAGCCCTGCTGATAGTCATATAATCGCTTTTTGGATGTAATCGGTATCTTGTTAGTGACCAGGATTTCTGCGTTCCCTATTTGTCCGCCAGAGTGAGACTGATCACTCCTTATGTATCCCATCCTAGAGATCACTTTTGGAGTGCATAATGTACCGTCTTTCCATTTTTTTTGTGTATTTTAAAATAGACGTGTCATGTGAGAAATATGATGAATTGCCTCCCAGAAGAGAGCAAACAGCTGTCATCCACAGCACATCTTCAATATCCCAAAGCACCGAATTAATACCAGTAGTATGACAACAACTAAATAGCCCTCAAATAAAACTAGTTGCAGCACAATTGATAAATAGGCCACTTTTTCAGTTCAATATCTGCATCCGAGTTCTGCTTTCGCTAATATTCCTTTCTGGGAGAAGCTCTCTGCTTGGCACTTTGGTCATGCGTATCTTTTTATCGACCGGAACCTTTCAAATGCCAGAATATTTTATTAAATTATCTTAGTTTAAGCCCTGCTTCCGTCGCTGTAACAGCTGGAACCGTCCTTGCATCAGGAAGTGGGTCCAGCCGATTGCGCTTTAGCTAATTATCGGCGAGATGGGCTTCGTCTCTTGCCAGACCTCCTCTGAGGGTCCATGGTGCTGCTTTTTAATGAGCGAAGCCAATTAAGAGGCCCTTGGAGGTAAGGCGGGCTGTAAAGGACGAAGCCCTGTCTGAACACGTAGAATGAGCAGCAGACCATCGATCGCCGAAATCTTCCGGAAGACGTGCGTTCTGTCTGATCGATGGCTTCCAGTATGAGCCGAAAAAGGAGGAAGGACGCGACAGTCACTCTCCCGTGTCGCGGGTTCTGCTGTGCTGTTGACACACAAACTTGTTTCACATGAAGCTTGTAAAACCCACGGAAATGTCACTTTTTTCCCTGAACTTTTTCCTGTATTGATAAATCAAATTATATATAAAGGCTAATGCATACAGGTGATGTTTTCTCAACATACAATATTGAATTTACTCATAATGTCATGGGTGGCCATGGGGAATGCGACTTTTTTAATAACCTTGTTGCGATTTTCGTAGCATGTTGATACTTTTGCGCGACATCTCTGAGGACGTCTCTAAAGCCTGTTGTGTCCAGTCGTCAAGGCTGCCAGTCAGCTTGTTGCCGTAGTAATGCCTTAGGATTGCCTTTCTATCATTTAGAAAATCATTTCAGTGAATTTGGTCTTGCCGTATGTGCTGACAGTTTACACGGTTGTAGTGTGTGATTGTGCACTGGCATATCTGATCTCTCATGAGTGCTGCTTTGTATAGGCTGAAAGGGTGCACAGATATCGAGGCTTGTTTTCTTTAAGCACAAGAAAGAAGCAAAATACAAACCCATTAGCATGACTATCAAGTAAACGAAGTGTCTTCCATTAGTTCCAAAATGCAGCACGTGTCGCCCAGCTGCGGGTCGTGGTAGATCCCGGACATCCGCAGGGACACACTGCGCGAAGGAGCTAGCGGCTGGAGAACATCTGACAGGTCCTCCTGCACCTTAATAGTAGCACTCCTTGAAGGTTATTTGATTAGGGGCTGATTTATGACGCTCCTCATGCGCATTCTGTGACATCATTTGCCCCACCATGAACACACAACATAAGGTTGTTGGATAGGCTGCACCTCCTTAATGGGTGCAGGGGTTATATACCCAAGGGAGGGTCCACACGCTCCCTTTCTTCCCAGAGGTAATCTGTTATTCTGACCGACCTGAGGACAAGGAGAAATAATCAGGAGCGTGATATAAAACTCATGTGCTGACCTTGTGATCTCATAATGGCTGCAAAATTAATTATTTGTTTGTTTGTTTTTTCCGGAATGCTCTGAGGGTTTTCTCTGGATTCATTATGGAGAACACTGAGTTACTGTAGCTGTAATTCCTCAGTGCAGCGAGCCTGGCTATGTGACGCAGGGCCCAT